TAGGATGAGGACTCCTAGACCTGGAGGTTCTGCTCAAACCTGTGAGCTGCATGTGAGGCTGATCTTTGCCGTGCAGCGAGGTCAGCAGCTGGGCACGCCTTCCAGCTGGGCAGGGTCAGTGCCCTGGCAACAGGAGTGACAGCACCTCTGTCTCTATCAAACGAAAAGCATTTCGCTCTCTGCCACTGTGGTCTTTTTTTGATTTGTTTGCCTGTCTTTTTGCTTTTTAAAGCAGTCTTACTCTTTTGCTTTCTTCCCCTCCTGCTCTCCCCATCCAGGCCCCTAAGCGTCCTGAGTGTGGATTGCCTCGGAGCTTACTCCTTATCCCCTTGCAATAATCTACAGCCGTGGTTTCTAAACCTTACTCTTTCTTTTCTTTTCTTTCTTTTTTTTTTTTTTTAAATCCTAGACTACCCTGTGAAGATTTCCAGGATCAAGTTGGAATTTAATTTGTAGGGGTTTATCTCAAACCAGGAAATAGACTCGACCACTTAAAGGGGTTGACATGGGGGCAAGCGTTTGAGAAAGTGTCGGGCTTTTGTAAAAGCTGGACTGGTGAGACTAATGGACCTGTATGAGCTTGGGAATCCAGCCTGTGACAACCAGTCGGCTGCTCAGCCCTTTGTCCTCCTTTCAAGAAGCATCTAGAGTTGTACGTTCAGTTGTGTGTTCCTCAGCATAAGGAAGCAGAGTGGTTAGGGTTCTCCAAGGAGTCCTGTTGGTGTTTTGGATGGAACAGTTCTTCACTGGGTGCATTGCAAGACGTTTAACCTCCTTGGCTCCTGCCCTGGGAAAGCCGGTGGGACTCCCTAATCATTGTGACAGCCAGAAACACCTCCACATGTTTCCAAAAGCCCTCTGGGGGATACTGCCCAGCGGTTGAGAACCGTCCTGTCACAACGTTACATTAAGAGTAAGCCACATTTGTGTTCGGTTGTAGGTGAAATGTTCTAGGGAAAGACACTGCCACAGTCCTCTGCTTGCTTCATCTGGGCTTGTGTATACCATATGGTGCCTTTGTTTTAATTTTTAAAATTTTTAATGTTTTATGCTGGCCAGTACAGGGATCAAACCCCAGACTGTGGTGTTATCAGCACCATGCTCTAACCAGTTGAGCTAACTGGCCAGCTCTTGGTTTAAATTTTTAAAATAAATTTGATTACACACATATTTGTTGAGTACCAGTGATATTCTAGGTGCTGAAGACACAGATTTCAGCAAGATAGCAAGTGCCTGTCTGCAAGAAGATTAAAGTCCAATGGGAGAGATAGCAAACTAGTTACTCAATAGAGAGTTTCTGATGGTATTATCAAGGAAAAAACATGGAGAATAGTAAGGATGAAGGCTATTTTGGATTTGGTCATCAAGAAATAGTTTTCTATAAGCCACTGAGACAGGAAATGGAGGATGGGCCTTTTTAGACTGCAGACATTTTGTCATGACCTGGAGAATCATTTAGAATGTCAGTATTGGGCAATACCTAGATTGGGGAAAAGTCCTCTGTGAGTTCACTGATAAGGTTTGACTGGCCTGAGACAGAACTGTTGAGGTGAAATACAGTTTGGGGAAATGCTTGCCCCTCTTTTTTTTTTTTTTTCCTTTTTGTCTTTTTTACTGACCGGTAACGGGATCGCAACCCTCGGTGTTGCGCCCGCACCGCGCTCAGCCAGTGAGTGGCGACCGGTCTCCACATGGGATCTGAACCCTCGGTGGGAGCGCCGCTGCGCTCCCAAGCAGCACACTCTCCAGTGCGCCACCGGGCCGGCCCGTGCTTGCTCCTCTTTTAGCAGCCCTAAGATTGAGCTTAGAGGTGTGGATTTGTAAGACCCAGAAGACTCTGGGAGGCCAAGACTTGAGGAGTTTGGAGAGTGCTACTGTGTGAAGTTCTGTGGTGGGGACACACACACACAGGCATTTTTCTTATAGGCTCTGACTACTTCTGAAAGAATAGATGAGAACCAGTATCAACAGTGAGCCCCTAGGGATTGGATGAGGTTCTTTTTTACTTTTAATATTTACATTTTATTTGTTTCTTTTAGAACAATACATTTACATAGCTCACAGTTTAAAAAGATACTAAAGGCTATATGATGAAAGAGCCTTACTTGGCATTGTATATACTGTTTAAAGTTTTTCTATCTGGCAAATATTAGCTTTTCAAGAAATGAATTAATTTTAAGGGACGTTCCTTGGTGATAATGACTCATAGGGATTAAATGTGTCTCGGGAAGAAAGTTTTGGGCTAAATCGGAATGAGTCTTCCTAAGTACTAAAGCTGTTTGAATGTATTTGTTTTGTCTAGTCAAATAACCTACATCATTACTCATGGGATAGCATAAAGGTTGTTCCTTAATAGAATGAGATCTAAACAAAACCGACCATTTTGATTAAATAGAAGTGTTCGAATTCCTGTAGGACCAGTTACTAGCTGAGTCATCATGAGCAAGTTATTTAAACTCCTTTGCCTCAGTTTCCTCATCAGCAATAATTTCATACATTTATTGTAAGACTTTAATGAAGAAAGAGCTAATGGCACTTAGTGTTAGTATCTACCAAATGTAGTGAAGGAAGCCTCCAGAAAGATAATGAACTTTAATGTATAATCCATTCAGTTGAGTTAGAAGCATTGTTCTGTTCTTTGTTGCCCCATTCATTCATTCATTTATTCAGGAAATAACTGTGAAGGCCTAATCTGTGCCTGGCACTGTCCTAGGCCCCAGGATGCACTGATAAGCAAACACAGACAGTTTCTGCCCATGTGGAGCTTATAATCTTGTGAAGGAGACAAACATCAGCCAGTTAATAACACAAATGTAAAATCACAGTTCTGTCCAGTTCTTGGAGGGGAGGCTTATGGTGTCATGTGAGCTTGTGAAAAGGAGATTTGACCTAGTCATGGATGTCAGAGGAGGGCTGCCCCAAGGAAGTGTCTTAGCTGGATCTGAAGGATGAGTCAAAGTGTCAGAGAGGAAATGGAAGGAGTTGTGTGTGCAAAGGTTCATTGACAGAGGAAGCAAAGGCCAGCATGACTGCTGTGGGCAGTGCTGGGGAATGTGGTGCCACACGAGGCCTGAGATGTAGTCAGAGTAGATGCAGGACTCGCAGGCCATGCTGAGAACTTTTTTTTCTATCTTCTAAGAGCAGTGAGAAGCCATTAAAGGGATGCGATGATCAGATTATTATTTGGAAATGATAGACTGTGTTGTGGATAATGAATTGGAAGAGAGCCAGCGTGGGTGTGGGTGCACTGATTAGAATGGTCTAGGCAAGCGATTGTGGTAGCTTGGACCAAAGTGATAGCGGTAGAGTTGTAGAAAACTGGATGGATTGATTCCATGGATATTTACTTTTTTTCTTTTCTTTTTTTTATTTCATGGATATTTAAGAAGCAATTTCGGCAGTACTTGATAATGGGTTAGCTCAGAGGAATAAGGGAGAAGGAGCTGTCAAGGGTGGCCTTTTGGATTCCAGTTTGCATGGTTTGATGAAGTGTGTGCCATTAGCTGAGACAGGGAACACTGGCAGAGGACATGTGTGGCAGAGGGAGAAGATTGTGAGTCTGCTGTGGGACATGTTAAGTCCAAGATGAGGCAGGAAGTTAGTTGGATGTAGAGCTCAGAGGCCTCCGGCCAGAGATCTAAATGTACGAGCTTATTGATGCCTGGAGCCTTGGGAGGGAAGGAGGGAGGGAGGGAAGGAGAGAGGGAAGGAGAGAGGGAAGGAGAGAGGGAGGGATTGAGGGGGGAGGGATTGAGGGGGGAGGGAAAGCTTGTTCAGATTCCCTGAGACTGACCCACACTTCCTAGTTAGTTTCATGCTGGCTGACCCTCTTGTCCTGGGACAGTGGGGCTCTTGGGACAGGACTTCGGATGGAGGGCTAGAGTCCTTCATCCAGCTGAGTCCTTGCCCCTATGCTGTGCCAGCTATGTGGTGGCAACTGGGCGAGAGGAAATCTCTGAGGACCCTCTGTGGACTGGGTGCTTTCCTTTCCCACCTTCCGTCCTTTTTCCTGAGAGTCCTGGCACTTGCCATCTGATCTAGCCGGGAGGAGGATGGAGGCTGGAGGCTGGCTCATAGGACACACACATTAGCTGCACTTGTCTGGATATTATCTGGAGATAATTGGCGATTGACTTGAACATCAGTAATGGTAAACTAATCATAGCTCACTCAAACTGCTTGTTTTATTCTTTTGGGGATCTGTACATTTCTTGAGTTTGTCTGCCTCTATCTCTGTTTCTCCCTTTCTCTAAATACTGTCCAGATCAGTCAAGGGTTGAAGGCACTTGTGAGGGTGAGGTGGTGGTCTAAGAGGGGAAGGAAACAGACTAGAACCAGGCGATTCGGCCACAGTGCTGGCTGCTGCCTGTAGATCAGTCTGTGTATCTGTCAGCCTGTGACTAGCTTATTTCCAAAAAGGATGTAAGCCTAGGGCTTTCTTTATTATAGTGGGGATGGTGTCCTTAGTGACAGGTGATATATGGGAATCAGTGTAGTTTACTTGCTTTGTGGTTCCAGACAGATGCCCAGAGAGAATCCTCAGTGTGGGCAAGTGGGGCCCCCTTGTGGCTGAGTCTGGTTCTCCACTTTTGCTCGGCTTCTCTTCCAGATCATCTGGGGTTGGGGAGGTGGCTGAAAGAAGTATTTCTCTCTCTTCAAGCCTTTCTCTGGACTTTGCTATTTCTGTCGATTTTGTGGGGGTCCCCAGCCATTGCTGCTCAGCAGCTGCTCTTGGGTCCGCCCAAGCAAAACCAAGCCTTGTTCTTGAGGTGCTGGGACTGTGAACACAGAAACAATATCTGTATGTTCCCTGGCAAAGTCGGACTCTTTGGACTACTTCTTATAGGTAGTAGAACACTCTAAAGTTATGAAAGACAGGTGAGAAATATGAGAAAGAGGTGTCTGTGTGTGTGTGTCGCTTGAGAACAGAGCGTCTTTGGTTTTTCGATGTCCATTGGGTGGCACTGTGATCTTATTTTTGTTTCTATTTTTCTTTGCAGCCAAGCTCTACTCCAGGAAGTGAAAATGTGCTGCCTCGAGAGCCTCTGGTAAGTACCCAAGATACATGGTATCATTTTTAATAGTTCTAATACCATGTGAGTATAAAGAAACCTTATGCTCCTATAGTTTCACATCAGTAGTGTCCCTTTAAAAGCAGGCATCAGTAACCTCTGACTTCTGACTTCTTTTCTAGCGTGCACAGATTAGTGTCATCTCTCCTTAGTAAAGCCTGGTTTTTTCTGAAACTAAAAGCATCCACCCCAGATGGTCCTGTGCCACTTTGTTTTTTGCTGATCAGTAGTAATTAGTGAGATGGTTGAAACCCTGGGAGGCTGAGTTGAAGTGAGGTTGCTGGGCCTAACCAGGTTGCTTCTTGATTGTCTGAAATAGCCATTCTCTGCTCCTCGGGGTGAGAGCACCTCAGGTGGTCTTTAAAAAACAGGTAAGGAGGGCCAGCCTGTGGCTCACTTGGGAGAGTGTGGGGCTGATAATAAATACCAAGGCTACGCGTTCAGATCCCTATATCTCATTTGGGAGAGCGTGGTGCTGACAACACCAAGTCAAGGGTTGAGATCCCCTTACCAGTCATCTTTTGGAAAGAAAAAAAAAAAAAACTGCTCTGTTCTAAATTTTCAGGATTCTAGATCATTCACTAGGTGAAGGGTTGCAAGCCATTCTCTGCTCCTCGGGGTGAGAGCACCTCAGGTGGTCTTTAAAAAACAGGTAAGGAGGGCCAGCCTGTGGCTCACTTGGGAGAGTGTGGGGCTGATAATAAATACCAAGGCTACGCGTTCAGATCCCTATATCTCATTTGGGAGAGCGTGGTGCTGACAACACCAAGTCAAGGGTTGAGATCCCCTTACCAGTCATCTTTTGGAAAGAAAAAAAAAAAAAAACAGGTAAGGAAGGGAATTCTGGTTTTGCCTGGTCAGTAATTAGGCTTGTGATAGCCATTACCAAGATTATCTTCTATTGATAGAGAAGAGGCCTACTAATTACTAAAGATAATTTTCTTTGCAAAGTTATTTTGCTTTGGTGGTCCCAGCCAGAGTCCCTGCCTGCCTGCTTGCCTACCCGCCCACACCATTTTCATTCTATTTTGCATTTTGGGGCCTGCTGTAAATACTGTTGGCTGGATAGTAACCTGGTTCTGTACAAACCAGGTAAGTTGTATGGGAGAGCCAGCTTAAGGTTTAACTTCTCAGAGCCTTCTCTTTCTTTGAGTACTAATAGCAAGCTTAGGGGTGTATTACCAAGGTTTTGTTTCAGCAGGGCCTGTAGTTTCACTGGTGTTTCTTCACTCTCCTGGCAGTAGTGGGAGGAGATGACGTGAGGGCCTTAGCTGGTATGAACAAGTCTGAATTCTAGAATGTAGCGTACTAAGGCTTTCCAAGGCAGAGGGTGAGTTGGATCTGGCTGAGCTGTAGAAAGACTGGGGTGATACAAGTGCTGCCGGGACTGTCTCAGGGTAGTACTATTGTCATTCATGTCATCTGCTGTCACTAATTATGGGCTCGCTTCCCAGCACTCCCACAGTGGCCTCATTCACTCTTTTGGTATTGCCTGGGTCCTTCCCTGAGGTCACGGTGTGTGAAAGCCAGAGGAGGCTTGGCCTCACCAGTCTCCTAGGTGGGGAGCGCAAGTGATTCCCACGGTGCTGCCTCAGTGCCCCGCAAGCCAAAGTTATGGTTGGTTTTAGATTAAAGTCCAAATTGAACATGATAGCCTCTTTGATCCTTTATTTCCTCAGTCTCTTTTTGAATTTTTTTTTTTCCAAGCCAGCATTTATTGCTGCATAAGCCTGTTCCAGTCCTGAGTGGATCTTCTGGTGGGGGCGTGGGTAGGAAGCTGTGGCCACAGGGGTGAAGGGCAGACAGAGGATGCCATGACCGCCGTGCTCTTGTCCATCTTTTTGAATTTTGATCTACTGATTTAACTGTTAATCACAGAGGAGTGGCCAGTCCATCTTTTTGGGCATGATTGAATAAATGCTTTGGCAGCCCTAAGCAATTGGCAAGCACCCTGATTTCTGTGTATTTGGAGCCCCGCAGACCCTGTGCTCTGCTAATGTTTCTCTACACTGCTCTTTTCCTGCTGTACTGTGCATCTGCTTGTTGGTGGGTTGTATTTTTATTTCTTTCTTTTCTGGGAGGCCCTGAGCAGTCTTCAAACCCTGGTAGCCTGCGATCGTCCAGAGTTCAGACTCATTCTCTCCAGGCCAACTCTACAATTACCTTATATTTAATTAATATTTTTTCTCCTCTTTACGTACTTGCTGCATAATTGCTCAGAGGAAAGAAAACACATAGCAGCAATTTATATATATATAAAAAAACAATAATTAAAAAAAACACCCCGAAATAAACTCCCATCTCATTTGGGCTGATCCTATGAGTTGGGTAATTAGGGCCCTATTAAAAGGTAGACTCTTTCTCCTTCCTCCCTTTTTTATATTAATTTTTTTATATTAAACTCCCACAGTCTCTCAGTCATGCCCATATTGCTTTTGGCCAACCATTTGCAGCAGCCTGATTAAATGAGGGCACCAGCCGAGTTGTACAGCCTTGTGTGAACCACTTTGTCCTCTTGGGAGTGGCAGCAGGAGGGTGTCAGGCAGCAGAGCCCACCGAGGGGGACAGGATGAGCAGGAGGCTGCTGTGAACTGATGGCAGGCCGGAGGGGAGGTGCTGGAGAAGCAGTGCTGGAGGGTGGCGGCCCCCACCACAGAAAGCCCATGGTGAAAGCACACAGCATGCAGCCCCTTCCACAGAGGGGGCTTTCTCAGGCTGCATGTGTTAGCTGTCTCTTGGGTGCCTGGCTCAGCTCGGGCTTGAGGACTGAGGACAGACGACTGAAGAATAAAACTAAGCCTTGTTCCAAGTGTTCACCCATTTTATTCGGGGAAGAAAAGGCATCTGTACACTGAAACAATTAGCAGCTGGCATAAGACTGCATATAATTTTAGCAAACAGCACAAAACCGTATATAATTTGGTGCCGAATTGCCTGGCTGGGAGTATGACAGCCCCTGGTTATTCAGAGAAGGAAGCGTTCTGCAGGGGGTGGGAGGGTGGACTTGGGGATGGTTTATGTGAAACTTGAAGCCAGGTCTTGAGGAATAGGGTATTCCAGTGTTAGGGGAACACCTGGCTAAATTGTTTTTGTTTTTGTTTTTAACTGAGTGCATATTTGCCTCAAAATTCTTTAATGGAAGCTGCCGGGTCACTACAATAAAAGGGATAAGCGTGGGATACTGAGGTAAATAATCTTACCTCATTCTTTGTCCCAGAACTCTATGATCACTTTGGAATAAATTTTCCTCTTATTAAAAAAGTGAGTTATGGCAGAGGAAGCTCTATCATAACAGTGCAGGTGACATTGCCCTGTCGATGCATTTGTCCTTTTTTTTAAAAGATGACCGGTAAGGGGATCTTAACCCTTGACTTGGTGTTGTCAGCACCACGCTCAGCCAGTGAGCTAACCGGCCATCCCTATATGGGATCCGAACCCATGGCCTTGGTGTTATCAGCACCGCACTCTACCGAGTGAGCCACGGGCCGGCCCACCCTGTCGATGCATTTGGGTGTCTGCGTTATTGTTCTGCTTTATTTGCTGGGGAAGGAAGGCCTGCTTTGCATTTCTAACCTCTCTGGACCATAAAAACTGTCTTGTGACTTTGTGGTGAGAACTATAATCTTGTAGTCTCTAAATGACACATTTGTGTTTATAGCCATCTCTTGACCTTGATTCTAGCCAAGTAGTGACCCTGCATGTTCCCTTCTCTTGCCCCTTCAGTCCTCCCCCTGCCCCGCCCTGGAATAAAACCAGCCCAGCAACCCTGACCATATTAGTGAGATAGTTCCTCTGTTATGAAAGAGTCATCAGAGCTGGAGGTGGGTGAACAGACCAGTCTTGAGAAATTCTGTAGACTCTGAGTTGAAATTCTCTGATTGTTAGTGACAGAACTCTTTGCTAAAGTCAAACAGCTGATTACCTTTTCCTCTTCATGCTTTCTTCGCGGAGCTTTGCCTCCTAGGGCAAGGAGTCTTGATAGCTTTCCAGAGTACACTGCAGCTTCTCCCAGACCTGTTGAAGACCTGTGAATCTCCTGTAGACCCGAGTTTCTAGTCCCACAGTTGTGCCCATCCTTGGGCTCACACAGAGTCTCTGGACCAGCTCCCTTTGCTGCCCTGGCAGGATCAAGTCCCTGCCTGGTCTGTAGGTCTTTAAGAAAGGGTGTACAATTGTCCGCGTGGGTAACTCAGTTCTCATTTTGCTTGGATACTGAAACTGGGGTTAAGGTAACCTTTTGAGATTTCCTCTTAGTCATATGATTTTTGGTTATTTGAAGTAAGCAATAAATATGGTTTCTTTACATGTCTCATGTGGTGTCTCACTTGTCTCAGCTCAGTTTTTCAATATTCGGCAATGCTCACCAGTTCACACAGTGCTTGTAGGCTTTGGCTAAACCAGAATTTCAGCTTTTTGCTCTTTGACACCAGGTTTTCTCTAATGGATGAGTCTTCTGCCATCCTTTTTTCCTGACTCGTAGTAGGTATAGATTCTTTTTGTTTTTTTCTTGGAAAAGCAAAATTTCCCTGCATCCCTCCACCAAAATAATCCCAAACTACAATACAATGTATTTTTGTAAATGATGATGGTAATTTCTTTTTCACTTTCTCTAGGATTAATATTTTTTAGTATGCTGAATTCTTAAAAATAAAGATATTCTGCAGTTGCAGATCCAGGCTATATTTGAATAGTTTTGCCTTCTAAGTGCAGAAGGATCCTGTCTCCTTGGGCTTCTCCCTGAGGTGAAATGGAACCTTTTCCTGGAGGTTTTACATCATGTATTTGATCTCAGTCCTTCTGGGGAAGGTCATCCACCTCACAACTGGGACACCTAAGATTTTCTCTTTGGTTTTTAAGCCAATTAACCAGAGGCTGGTAATCAAAAGGACATTATTATCTTGAATTCAGGGAGCCAGTACTGTGAGCTTCTCTTTAAGAATAGCTACGTCTAGTTGCCTGTCTCCTAAACACCTCTA